CTAAACCCTAAACCCTAAGCCACCCGCCAGGACGGTCTGAAACACCCGTGGATCGTCTCGGCCGCTGCGCCTGACCCCGAGTTGGAGCGCGAGGAGACGGCCAAGGGCGAGGAGCGGGGTGGGCAGGGGACGGGAGGCGCCCAGAAGAGGGTTTCAGGGTTTATGGTAGGGTTTAGAGTTTAGTGTTTCCTTAGGCTCTTTTGAAAGGTGTTATAGTATAGAGGGAAGGGGGGAGCTTTAGGATTTAGGCTGACATAGGTGTAGGGGGTAGTCTGGATGGAAAACCCCCGCATACTGTTGTTTGGGTTGCCACTGTGCCTGAGGCCTGAATTAAGCAATGAGAGTTGACTCGCGCCAATCTATTTCAACTTTGCGTTGCAAAAAAGGGTCTCTTTCTGCAGGTCCTGCAACAAGGGTCATACTTTGTACTTATTTTTGAGCATACCCTCATCCAACATCCCTAGCCCGCAAAGGTTTGTCTAATTTCAGAAGGTTCCGCCCCAGGCGTGTTGCCCCGAATGTGGGTGGCAGCCATTTATCAGGCTCTTCACCAAGCCTTTACTATTCTTGACGAATTAGCTCATGTTTTTTAATCATTGCCGGTGCACTAAAGTTCAGAAAGGGGTGTACGGATTGTGATGATCTCTGAAAGACTCCCTATTCTTGCGCATGCATGAGGGCTGACTTCCAACCTCTGGAATGGATATGCCATGATGAGCGTAGAGGATATCTTAGGTTTCCTCTTGCAGCACCCTCTCTGGAACTTTGTAGTAGATTGTTGCACCGTACAAACCCGCGATACCCCCAAAGGATGACAGCCTACGCCAGAAGCCCCAGGGTTAGGGTTTAGGATTTAGGGTTTAGGGTTGAGGGTTTAGGATTTAGGCTTTAGGGTCACACATTACACACTATGCCCCAACCCTTCGCAGCGCCTACAAGCGCAGGATCTCAATGAGTTTGTGCGCAGCGCGACTGCACTTTCCAGTCCAAGGATTTGCAGTTCAGGGTTTAGGGGGTTTACGGCTTTATGCTTGAATCATGCTTGAGGGAAGCCCCGTGCAGTAATGCTGGTATAGTATGGCCCTACCTAAAATCCTTCCAAGTATGCCTTGCGGACGCTGCTCGTGCGGGGGGGTCTAACCTACATCATCCGACCCTAAAGCCTGAACCCTCAGTCCAACAAAGATCGTAGACTCTGCCCTAAACCCTGAATCCTAAACCCTAAACCCGGATTTGGTATGCCTGGAAATGCCCAGCCTTGACGCGTTTGCAAAACGGCCAGCAGTTTCTCAACCCTGGGAGCTCTAGAACTACCCAGACCTTCAAAAGGATCTAAGAATTAGATCCCCTAAAACCATATGGGATATTATATTGGGATTATACAGGGGTTATAATGGGTCTATATCGGGGATCTAATTTTTAGATCCTCCCAGGGGTCTGAGTATGGTACTTCCATTAAACAGCGGAACCCCAACCCTGGGGTTTATGGCTTAGACCCCCCCCCAACTCGGTAGTCATGAGTTGTAGGAACCCCAACAGCGGACTCCCCCAACTTCCGGAAACCCCTTTTTGGGGATGATGAGGAGACCCTAAACCCTACACCCGAGACACTAAACCCTAAGTACGCAAGCTGAAGCTGCTGGTGAGAAGAAGGATTTGCCTTCAGGGCGCTTAAGATGCAAAGCCAGGAGTCCAAGGCCATTTTAGGATGGCTTATGAAATGGATTTAGACCCTGCGGTTTGGGGTTTGGGTTTAAATTCCTAACTAAGATCCAAATTAGGGCGATTAAGGGTAGATTAAAAGTGGAAAGGCTTAGAAGGTCCACCAAGCCCATCATGGTGAGCTGAAAGCGGGCAGGCGAGAGCACTTTCTAGGCCGGCTACCAAAGGAGAAGCCAGAGTTGTTTGGTTACATGGGTGGTTGTCATAATTATAGTCCCTTTTTGGGTACCCTAAATATTAGGTGCCGTATTATAATAGGGGCCCAAAAAGGGACCATAATTTTGACAACCACCCACAGGCTTGTTAGGGTTTAGGGTTGTTACTAGAGCGCATGTGCAACTGACAAAACAGGGTTGAGGGTCGAGGGGCAAAAGGAGTTGTAGGCATGAGGCTTTCTGCCCTGATTTGAGCCATAACGATTCAATTACTATTTTTGGATTTGGGGGCCCAATGTAGGTATCTCAAGGGCAGCAGTAGCGGTAGAAGGAAGAGGTTACTTCATGCACGTATCTTGGTTTTCAAAAGCCCCAGTGAGTCATGTTTGGCATGCATGCCCCTAAACCCAGAACCCTAGAGCCACAAACCCCCCACCCCAAACATCTGCATCAGTATAGTCTCCCTTAAGTAGATAGAATATGGCTTTGGGTATATGATAGTAAGATCCCCATATACCCATATTCTATCTACTTAAGGGGGTACTGTAAGCCCTTAAAGTCGAACCCTTAACCCTAAACCTTTTGCCACCCTGAGATTTCCCACCCGGACTAGGCCCCCAGATTCTACACCTCCAACCCTTATTGCCGAATAGGGGTTTCTTAAACTCAAGGGTTCCCATGATAAGGACTATAATATCTGTATTTATAGGGCCATGAGCTTGTAGATCCCGAGCTTCAGGTATTGTCCCCGAGAAAGCTGGAATTATTCAAGGACTATTTGGGGTTCTAGGTTGGGGTCCTCTCATGTTGGGAAACTACTATGTATCAAGCCCCCGGACCCTGACGTCTTCACGCCGGCCCAAAGGCAGCGCGCACAGGAAGGTCACATCGTCCCGAAAGCAGGTGGATCAAGAGGCGCCCCGCTATAGCCTACACTCCTGAAAGGGGGTACATAGGGGATTGTATAGGGGAACGTTATAGGGGTTATTAAGGGAGAAACTGGGAGTTCAGACTACAGATCATAAGTCATAGGTGTCTTTAACAGGCCATGGGGATATGTAGATTTGGCATGTCTTAAGTAGATTTGTCATCTAGGGCTTTAGCAGTCAGTAAAGCATGGTTTTGAGTTCCCTTTCTTATAGGGGGTGAGTAGGGAATAAAGGAAGGCAATTCCTTAACAATCCCTATACTATATCATCCGTTTATTCCTTATTCCCTAGAAACCAGTTCGAGATAATTTGGCCAGAAGGCCCAATATCCTTTGATTAAGGACTATACCCTAAATCATACTGGGATCCTTAATATGCTTTAAGGTATATTACCTAAACCCTAAACCCTAATTAGGGGACAATGTGCTTGGCAGCTCTTGGTGCGGTGTTGGGGGACCAGGAGGCGCTGCTACTAGAGTTTTTTTTTTTGTTGTTTTCTGCGGCTGGCTGAAGCTCATCCAGTGTACCCTGATGTTTAGGGTTTTGGGTTATTGTTTTCTTTGTTGTCTGGGGTGTATTATTTACAGGTGGAGATAATGAAGCGGTTTGAGACAGGTTGCGGGGTGGGTGTAGAGGCCTAAGGGACATTCCAGGATGGTCACATGATTGAGGATGATTCCCGTTTGGGGCTAAGGCGGGCCATTCGACCCTACAACCCTTATAAGTTCTTGGAAGCCCCTTAATCTCTTATGGGTTCTTCCTAGCACACAGCCGCGCTTAGAAACCTTGGGGTTTCGCACTTTTCGGGTAGTGAGGATCTGCAGGTGCTGTTTAATCCCTTCTATGTCCCGATACATCCGTGGAAAATTCTCAGGTCTCCCCATG